GTTTTGATCCACTTTTGAAGAAAATGTATTCTTTTTGTGAAGCAAATGGTATTAAGGCTTTGGATATGGAAGGCCGTTATTCAAAAAACGGAAGACAAAGGACCAACATCACCAATTGTCATTATTACAAGTTTGATATTTTCAACACTGTTGTGGACATGCAAATTCAAGAGTTTGGGGATCGATTTAGTGAGGTAAGTACTGAATTGCTAAAAAAAATAGCAGCTTTGAGCCCATGCGATTCATTTTCGCAATTCAATGTATCAGATTTCTTGAAGTTGAGTGAGTTGTATCCTCAAGATTTTAGTCATATGGAAAGGATCGCTCTTGAGAAACAACTTAACATGTACTATTTGATTGTGCGTCAAGATGAAAGATTTGCCAATTTGAGTGGTATTGCCGAGCTCGCTAGACTGCTAGTGGAAACAAAAAAGCATCAAACTTATCCTCTAGTCTATCGGTTATTGAAGCTGGCTTTGGTTTTTCCAGTTGCTACTGCAACAGTCGAAAGATGTTTTTCTTCTAKGAAGATTGTGAAGTCAGATTTGCGCAACAAAATCGGTGATGAATTTTTGAATGCTGCAATGATATGTACTATAGAAAAAGAAGCACTTCTCGCAGTTTCAAATGATGATGTAATTACGCAATTTCAAAAGATGAAGAGTCGTAGGGCACAGTTGTAAGAGGTAACTTTTTATCATTTTTGTATGAAATTGAAGTTAATTATTATTTTATTTTATAACGTGCCCCCTACAATATATTTTTCTGCGTCCGCCACTGAACAGATATATTTAGTACAACGAATGTACTTTATATATGAGACTTTTTAACGTTCATCTCACCAGAACTTTCATTCAATCATTGATAGCTTAAAGAAGTGTATCTATGAATGTTATGATAGAATAATAAATATTCCATAAAAATTGTGCAGTGTAGAAATTATAAAGCAACGAATGCTTCAAAATAAGCTCAATAAGATGAATAGTGTGGGCTACACAAATTTATGAAACTCGATTTATGATAAAAAAAGACTTAAAGGGGGGGGGACATATATTCTTCTTTTTCAATATCAGTATTCTCTAAATGAGAAACTGGTAGATTATGAGCTACGTGCCCAAGTGTTAATGAAACACTTATCTTTTGAGAGATAAATAATTAGTTGGTGGGGTTTTAAACAAAAGTTGTCCTGAGCTTTGCCTTTTTCAATATTAGTCTCGAAAGAATTGAGAACTAATAGATTTTACGGTTTTCCCGGATTATAATGGATAGATCAAGATTATGATATTCTTTTAATCCTATACACAAATCTCATTTAATTCTTTTAAGCTCACTTCAACTACCCCTTTCTTTTTCATTTTCAGCTCAACACACATATCCATCTGCAGTTAAGCTCACTCAGTATGGTTCTCCTCTTGGGTAGGGCTATCGGTTCTGATAGTCCATAGAGGTTTATTTGATAAGCACTCTGCCCCTCCTAAGATATTACATAAGCTCAATGAAGATGTATTCAATTAAGCTCAATTGATCACACGAGTTTGATCAAAAAGATATTGCAATTAAGTACATCATGAATTTTCTAGGAATTATTCAAAAAAATCAGATTATGTATGTAGGGAGAAATGAAAGAAGATTTGTAAGAACAAATTTACAGATATAGCAATCAAAGAATAATGAAGTATTTATCAACAAAGAATTATTTTCAATGTGTATAGAAAACAAAGTTAAATACAAATGAGTATATTATAATCGAAAATGAATTTTACATTTTAGAGATATGATAATAAGAATTTGAAGAATAGTTGAATCAGATATCAGAATTATGTATGAAGAGAAAATACGTAATTATTAACTCAATAAAATACCTGATCAAAAACAGTACTCGTTACAAACAAAAATAAAAATAAAATAATTTAAGATCACACTCCTTAGAATAATAAAATCATTTTGAGTTCAAAGAAGTGGTTTGAACATTTAGAAAACATTTTCATATACCTAGAAGTTATCCTTCTTCTAAGCATATGAATATAAATACTAGAAAGATATACCTGAGAATGAGATCAGATCAGATAAAGATTTTGATGTGCTCCCCCTTGAGAATACAACTCAGAATCTCATATAAGTGGTTAGTATTAGACAGTGAAGAATATTAAAGATCAAACTCAGACTCCCATCACCACTAACGCTGACGTTGATGACGATGATGATGTCATGATAGGTCCTGCTATTCATGAAGACCATCCCTCCACCTCTGTATTGCAAAATGCTGGTGATGAGGATGATGATGAAGAAAATGATGAAGAAGATGAGGATGATGAACCTCATCCCCCTAATAATGGAAATGACTTTGGTGATGACGACGATGATGAAGACAACGATAACGACTTCAGCATCCAATTCCATCCGAGACAACCAGCAGTGAAGGGAATCGACATCAGGGAACCTTTAGCTTCCCAGGAGGAGAGACCCTCAGCTTCTGGGCACCAACACTTCTCCAAAGACAAGGGCAAGGGAGTGGCTGAAGACAATCTCACCATCATTCTCAGGGTGATCGATCCCTATAAGGTTGCTCAAACATCCAGGTTCATACCCATTACCTCAGATATTGAACCCTGTTCCTCTTCTTCTCTCTGTCCAACAAATCCTTCTGGTCAATCAACACATCTTGCATCTTGTGAAAGCACAGATGAAGGTGAAGAAAAAATATCAACATCAAAAGTTGATGAAGACCAGAGGAGGATTCAGATGATAAATTAGCTTGATCCAACTAGAGTAAAAATCCATCTTCATACCTCTGGTTGTGGTGAGTTTGATTTCCTCACTAACGCTAAACGAGAAGAGTCCCTCAAGGCTAAAGAAGAGCTGAAACTACTTTGACGTCAATTAAAGGACAATCTAGAGTTGGCTAAGACTCTAGTTGCCCAAGATCTAGCCAAAGGGAAGCTCAAGAAGAAATATCCTCTTAAAGATTAGTCCAGATACTATCGTAAGCTGAACGAGAACATTAACGAGAGCTTATGCTGAAAGACCGTGATCTAAACTGGTGTAAGGAAAGGATCGAGAAAAGGATGAGTCCCCCATAAGATCTCAAACGTGACCATCAGCGAAAGAATGAAGGATGGTGGCCACCTTTTCTCAATGCTAAGAGAATCAATATGTTGTCACCTAGTACCCTTCTTACCTCGATCATTATGGCTTCTACGAGTGGCTGGAGATTCTACAGGCTATTTAGAGATCCAAATTCAAGTACACGTATGTGATTGAAGATGTCCTGAATGATTTATTCAAGAAGGTGTCCAAGATCATCAAAGTCCGTCCTTTGCCAAAGAAGCCGCCCTCTCGAAGAAAACACCTTTAAGAACCTGAAGAAGGACCATCCCACAAGAATGAGCACAAGACCAAATTCTCACTAGACGAACTTCTGAAGGACCGAAAGAAATCGGGTATCTCAGCAATGAACCTACATATCCTGAGAAGGGTACCTACATACCCAACACAGTGCCGTGAAACCTGAGTATAGACTTATGTTCATTGACTATGACGGTGACTACAGTTCCAGTGAGTATCCGTGTTCCATCTCTGCCTAATAGACCACTTAGAGAATCTAAGATTTGGCTAAATAATGATTTGTTTGGAGATATGATGGAGTTCAAGATCAATAAGGAATATCTCAGACACAATAAGCTTGAAGAAGATGTCCCTGAGTACGTCAGCTTCAACAACTTAGATTAGACGTCCTTTCAATCTTGTAATCTTATTTTCTTTTCTTTACTTTCAGTGTATAAACTTTATGTTAGGTCTACCAGTACTGATTGTAATACTTGTAATATTTTCTCTTGAAAAATATTCAATTGAATTATATTCACTGAAAAAGATCTCTAAAGAGAGTAAATGGGCAAGTACTTAAGAGTTCTATTTATGTCTTTCATTCATTGACATCTTTCTAGTCAGTGAATATGTTTTCAGTTTTAGTTATCAATATTATGTAAAGTTTATTCTTTCTTTGTAATCCTTTGCAACTTAAGTAAATTTTCATAATAAATTGAATCACTAAAAAAGATTTCAAAACAGTTAAAAGGGACAAGTATTCTACTAGTACCTTTTCTTTATTGATGTAACTTCAACAATTTTCTTTATGTTGCTTTGTCATCATCAAATAGGGGGATATTTCTGATCATCTCTGTCAGTGATTTGATGATGATCTCTTTTATTTATCGAAGTGTATTATTTATGTATTCAATTTCAGCGATCATCATTGAGTCTATTCAATGATCGCTGAACATGTATTCAGAAACCAATATACTTCAAGAAGGACAAAACTCATACCACATATCCTTCAACGATGTTGAAGACAGAAGGTAAAGATTAGAGACCAACAAGTTCGTGATCTGAAGTGGTTTTCAGTGATAACAAGCTCGTCTACACAAGTGTAAAACTTGTACAAGATTCAGCGAACATTGATGAGACCTTCAGTGTCATTCCAGTATTCAACGATGAAATGAATCTTGTTGAGCAAGATAGTTTTTGTCTTTTTCTTCTACACACAAAGGAAAAAACCATACCTTTCTAAGTATATTACAGTATAGAGTCACTCCTTTGACTCCAAACGTACTTACCTACTTTATGAGAGAGGACTGTTCATATGTACCCAAAAACGATTGTGTACTGTAACAAAGAACAAACTTTCCTCTAAAATCTTGCCACATGCTATGTACCTTCTGAATTGTATTTAATGCAATAGGTATAAATATTGGAGATAGTAATCTCTTATCAGTTATCTTCTTCCTCACTCAAAACTTGTCCAAGAAGTTACTTTTCTCTCTACTCTCTGTCTAAGAGAAAGACTCACTTTAACAAGTGAATGACATATTTCTTCTTATCTTATTTCTTGTAGCAAGTATTTTCTTATTGGTATATGTAATTTTGTGTGTATCTTAGATTATTTAGATAGGTTTTGTATCCTATCTCTTCTACAAATAATATGTAAAAATTGTATTGATCTTCTTTATCAATATATAATTTTTAAAAGTGAAAGTTACTGTGTTTGTATTCATCCCCCCTTAAACTGTTACCTATAAACTTTTGTAGATCAGGCTGGGACCAACAATTTATTTTGATTAGACACAGAGCTGTGATCCAGAGCTTCAAGCAGATCTTGCTAAAAAACTTGTCTCACTTTTTCTGTGAACTCAGCTAATAAGCATGGATCTAAAGTTTGTAAAAAATCCTTTTCAGAAACTTTTCCATCCCTTGTCTTTGTTAGTTTAGAAATGGACTCATCAGCCTTTGGAGTTGAAGCATCTTGATCTTGGCTACCAAAGCAAAAAATTTCCTCCTTCTTCTGTGTGCCTTGTAAATCTACTTGTTTGGTTTTGTACATAGTTTTGAGAGAAGAATAAGAGGTGTTTTTGAGATTTAGCCCCCTTCCTCTAGCTCTAATCTCAAGTTTTGTTCTTTTAAAAGGAGATAGTTTATGTAGAGCTGGAAAATCAAGTTTTTGCTCTTTACGCAAACAGAAGACAAATTCAAAGAATGATTTCTTCTTCTAGGTCAATAGTCTAGGTCTTCATAACCTAGCCTCATTTTGTACTGTTGAGAATTAACTTTTTTATACACCTGCTGAGAGTCTTGATATTTTTTTGATCAAGAGCTCTTTTCTTTGCAAGCTTTGGTGCATAAATTATCT